TCTTCTTCTTCCACTATTTGATAAAAAAAATTGAGTATTAGAATGATCCTAGTTTAGTACTCAAAAAAGTTTTTAGCATTTTTTTCCTGCATGACTCTTTAAATTTTTGTTTTGAACATTTTGAAATACACGGCACATTTTGTATAGTTTTAAGGATGTTTCAAAATATTGTAAATATTTTTGCTGATTTTTCTTGAATTGAGCTGGCTTTTTTTTGTGTTATGTAATTACGATAAAGAATTTGTTCCACAATTCGAGGCAGGATTTGTATTATATTGTTAAAATTCTCAAATTTTTTCCATTATGATGATCTTCATTCTAAAAATAGTAAAAGAAAAGCGATTTTTTATTTGTATAACTTCATCCTAGATCTCAGCTTACTCATCTATTGATGACTATGTGCATGCGTACTAATTTATATTCGGTTTTCTTAAATCATCTTATCATCTTAAAAAATGTCTTACAATTTGGTATGAAAAAAAAATTTAAAGGAAAATTTTGAAAATGAAAAAGAAAATTTTGTGAAATGAAAAACAAAAAGCCTATGTTGATTAAAAAAAATATTTTTATATTTTTTAAAAAGTCCGTTTAAATATGATTATTTTGGCAAAACGATTGAAGTAAACGACTGCAATGTCTAGTCAAATATAATACGCCATCTGGTATGAAAAGTTTTTATAAACATATAGTCTGACATAATACTTTTTGAGTGAAAATTATGATGTCATCGTCAAAATTATGTTTAAAGTTTTATCAATTTTTCTAAAGTAAAATTTAGAGTTTTGAAAACTTTTAAACTGTTATGTATGTATGTACTCTTTAGGTTTAATAAATATTTTGAAATTTGACGTTTATTACTTATTTGATAAAGTTTTTAAAAGTTTTTTCTTAATTTTCCGTCTGGTTTATTTTTGTTTTCATATCAGAATATTTTCTTCATTGCGAGTAATGATGTCATTGTTTTCTTTTAAAGTTTTTACAAGTTTTATACAAAACAGATTTTTGTTGTTTTAAAATTACTCAGCACTTAAACGATTCCAAAATTTTGTACTATAAAAGAACTGTTTTTAATCACATTTTTTGACAACGGCAAAGAATTTGTTAAAATTAGTAACTTGTCAAAATATTAAAATAATAATTTTTTGTGAAAAAAACACGCTCACCTGACGAAGCTTGTAATTTTTAAGTAAGTTAACTGGAACTGAGTTGAAATTTAATTCAGTCTTGTGAAGGCACCTTTTTTGCAAATGATTTTTTTTTTGAGCCAAAAGAAATATTGAAAGAATTTTTTTTTCAGATATTTAACTTTGAAAAACTAAATTGAAAATGTTCATTTTGTTAAATTTTAAAATAATTTTAATAAATAGCAAAAAAAATGGAAGCTGAAAATATTTTAATGTAATGTTAACCCGATTTTCTACAAAATGTCGAGTAGGGAAACATGTCATTCTCCTGTAATGTGAACATATTCAGAAAGTGAGGAGTCAAATTTTATTGTGAATTTTCAAAGTTATGTATTCTCTTCAAATTTCCAAACCAAAAATCTCCCAATGAAAAAAATTGCCCAAGAAATGTCACTCTCACTAATTTTTTTCAAAATTGTAATAAAACTTTCATATATTTTTGGTCCTGTTAACATATCAATACATTGCACGTGATAATTGAAATTTCTCGTGATAATTCAGGATACATAAAATAATACACGTCATATTTCCAATAAATTTTTACAATTTAAAATTTTTATTTTAACAAACAATAACGTTTTTAAAAATTTTTTCATAGAAATAAAAATTAATTCTTTTTTCAATCACATTCTCATTTGCTTTTGACAATCGCGAAAAGTTATAAATAGAGGTGAAATTTTTAATTATTTAATTTAAAAGAAAATATAGAGGAGAGAAGACCATTTTTATTTTATCTAGAGAAAAGTTGAAGAAATCGAAGGACGAAAAATATAGGGAAAATATTTTATATCTTTAAATACAATTCTTTTTAGATTTCAATTGAATAACATTAAAATATTTTTGAAATTCTTAGGGAATTTAAATAGAAACTAAAAATGGATCAAGAACAATTAATAATTGTATTCGGAATTTTAATTTTCTTGTTTGGATTAGTTATTTTGTATTATTGTTTTTGTAAATACAAAACATATTGGAAAAATCGAAATCAATATTATAAGTTGAGGAATGTTGAAATTGATTTGTGTGATTCTATAAGCGAATGTAGTTTACGAACAAATGTTTCGGTTCAAAATTCTTGTAAAACATATTCAATTAGTAGCTTGAAATCTCATAACAGTCAGGAGAGTAATAAAAGTCTAGATAGCGATAAAAAAATTGTTTTTTTGTATAAATATGAGAAGGATTTTGTTTCAACTGATTCGGAAAATGAAGGTTTTTATGAAAACAATTTTACTTCTCGAAATTCTAATGAAACATTTGTAGTATCGGGAAAATCAAATGAAACATTTGTAATATCGGGAAAATCAAATGAAACATTTGTAATATCGGGAAAATCAAATGAAACATTTGTTGTGTCGGGAAATTCAAATGAAACTTTTATAATTGATGATTAATTTCCAGAAGTAAATTTTGAAAATTCGGTTAGTTATTTGTGTTATTTTGAAAGAAGAAAAAAATATTTGAATAGTTTCCGTAGTTTACCAGGAAAATTTAATGTTTAAATACAAATGAATTAAATTTTGTAGTAGCAAAGTCAAATTTTGATTGAAATTCATTGTGCAGCAGATATTGATTTTAATTTCTATTTTTTTACTTTTTAAAATATATCAGTGTGTTTATTAAATTTATTATTAGTTGAAATTATATTCTTAAATATCTTTTATTAATTTAGAATAACTATGAAATTTATTAATTTTTTTCTTTTTGGATTATATCGAAAAAATCATACTTTTTAATTAAATTCTAACTTTTATTTGTTGATATTATGTTCGATAATTGTTTTGCAATTTTTTTTGCGTAAACAATGAGAGATATTGCGAGATCGGCAAAAGTTAAACCTCAGGTTTACCTTTTGTTGTCGGTGCAGAATACGAACAAAATTGTTATCACATTTAAAGTTAGAATTTCGATAAAAAGTATGATTTTTTTTTGGTATAGTTTAAAAGAGAAAAATTAAGTAAAATTTTAAGAAAGTTATTTATTAATAAAATTGAGGGTTAAAAGGTATTAAGGAATATAATTTTGGTTGATAATTTTAAAAATCCATTGACATATTTCGAAAAGTGAAAAAGTGGAAGCAAAAATCAATATCTGCTGCGCACACAATTTTATTTGAAGCACGAAACATAGATATAGAAAATTGTTGATCATTTAATCCATTTTTTAAAATATTTCCAGTTTATTAGTAAAAATTTTTTGTATACCTGAGTCTCGTCAATGTTTTTATCCTGGATTTAATCATTCTTAAGATAATTATGAAGAATTTATTTTAATTTTCTTCTTCTTCCACTATTTGATAAAAAAAATTGAGTATTAGAATGATCCTAGTTTAGTACTCAAAAAAGTTTTTAGCATTTTTTTCCTGCATGACTCTTTAAATTTTTGTTTTGAACATTTTGAAATACACGGCACATTTTGTATAGTTTTAAGGATGTTTCAAAATATTGCAAATATTTTCGCTGATTTTTCTTGACACAATTCGAGTCAGGATTTGTATTATATTGTTAAAATTCTCAAATTTTTTCCATTATGATGATCTTCATTCTAAAAATAGTAAAAGAAAAGCGATTTTTCATAAGTATAACTTCATCCTAGATCTCAGCTTACTCATCTATTGATTATGTGCATGCGTACTAATTTATATTCGGTTTTCTTAAATCATCTTATCATCTTAAAAAATGTCTTACAATTTGGTATGAAAAAAAAATTTAAAGGAAAATTTTGAAAATGAAAAAGAAAATTTTGAAAATTTTGTGAAATGAAAAACAAAAAGCCTATGTTGATTAAAAAAAATATTTTTATATTTTTTAAAAAGTCCGTTTAAGTATGATTATTTTGGCAAAACGATTGAAGTAAACGACTGCAATGTCTAGTGCTAGTCAAATATAATACGCCATATGGTATGAAAAGTTTTTATAAACATATAGTCTGACATAATACTTTTTGAGTGAAAATTATGATGTCATCGTCAAAATTATGTTTAAAGTTTTATTAATTTTTCGAAAGTAAAATTTAGAGTTTTGAAAACTTTTAAACTGTTATGTATGTATGTACTCTTTAGGTTTAATAAATATTTTGAAATTTGACGTTTATTACTTATTTGATAAAGTTTTTATAAGTTTTTTCTTAATTTTCCGTCTGGTTTATTTTTGTTTTCATATCAGAATTTTTTCTTCATTGCGAGTAATGATGTCATTATTTTCTTTTAAAGTTTTTACAAGTTTTATACAAAACAGATTTTTGTTGTTTTAAAATTACTCAGCACTTCAACGATTCCAAAATTTTGTACTATAAAAGAACTGTTTTTTAATCACATTTTTTGACAACGTCAAAGTATTTGTTAAAATTAGTAACTTGTCAAAATATTAAAATAAAAAGTTAACTGGAACTGAGTTGAAATTTAATTCAGTTTTGTGAAGGCACCTCTTTTGCAAATGATTTTTTTTTTTTGAGTTTTTTTCATGTAGCCAAAAGAAATATTGAAAGAATTTTTTTTCAGATATTTTACTTTGAAAAACTAAATTGAAAATGTTCATTTTGTTAAATTTTAAAATAATTTTAATAAATAACAAAAAAAAAATGGAAGCTGGAAATATTTTAATGTAATGTTAACCCGATTTTCTACAAAATGTCGAGTAGGAAAACATGTCATTCTCCTATAGTGTGAACATATTCAGAATGTGAGGAATCAAATTTTATTGTGAATTTTCAAAACTATGTATTATTCTCTTCAAATTTCCAAACTAAAAATCTCCCAATGAAAAAAATTGCCCAAGAAATGTCACTCTCACTCATTTTTTTTTGATTGAAAGTTCATAAAACTTCAAACCAAACTGAAACGAACTTTCTATTCTGCTATTATTTCGTGAGTATTTTGAATATAAAAAAGGCTGTGTGTTAATCACTTTCCAAATTAAATTTCATATTTTTTATAAAAATAATATTTTCATTAGGTGAGTATACTTTAGTTAAAAATAAATGAAAGGTTTCGCAAATAAATTGAAATGATTTTCCAAAGAAATAATAAATGATTTTGGAACGTGAAAATCTTATCAGAACTCTAACCTCACTTGCCGCGTCATAGAAATATTTTCTCATGAAATAACTTCATAAATTTGCAAGCTTGCGAAATTTTTTTTACTAACTAGTGCTCTTTCTTTAATCAGCTAATGATTTTTTTTTATTTTAGATATAGTATTAAATCTTAATAAGGGCAAGACAAATAAAAAACACCTTGGTACCTGAAGGCCTTTAAAGGTTTTTTGAAAAAAGGCCATTGGCCTTGCCATTTTTGGCTAAAACAAAAATTTTTTGTTCTATTAAAAATTTTTGCAAATTGTATATTATAAAGCAACACCTAGTATATATAAATTTAGTGGATATTAAATTATAATAATAGATGTATTATATAATATAAAACAAAATATTTGCCAATTTATTTTCCTGGTAGAGAATTTAACATATTCGTATACAGATATATACATAGGTACATAGTAAATAACATATTTATAGCAAAAAGAAGAGAAAAATAAAAATTATCATTACATTTAATATAATATATAAAAGAAAATTTAAACTTGTGATATAATTTAAAATAAATATATAAAAATAATATTCCCATATCAAAGAATTTAAAATATCCTACCTAATAAAGCAAAAAATACCTAATAATACACAATATAAATTAAACAGTAAATATATAAACTTGGTTAAACATTAAAAAGCATAAGATAATTAAAAGTTATTTGATAAAATATCAAAATGTCACAATATTCGCAAAGTAACGAACAAAATCAAGCAGGTCCTTCGGGGATCCCAAATTCGTATCAATATACAACCGCAACATCAACAAATTCTTTATCTGGAAATTTAACTTCAACATCGTCTTCTTCAAGTAACAACAATCCAATACTAGAAAGTTCAGTGCATAGGTTCTTTAAAGATTCCTATTATAATAGCAGAATTAGAGGAAATACTGGATTATATGATTACAACAATATGGGCACATGTTTTCCAAATTATGATCAAAATAATTACCTTCCTTCTGTGAGTATATTTGAGATATTTATTATGTCACTAAATTATTTTGAAATTTTTAGGTTCCTAGTACCAGCAATCAAAACTATTCATTTAATAATCCACTGTATTATAATGGAATATCAAGTTTTAATGATACGGCGAACCCATTCTTTTACAATTCAAATTACAATAATCAAGGGTTCTTTGACAACACTTTTTATCCCTCTACAAGGTGAGAAATAATATATAAATTGAAAATTTCAAATATACAATTAAATGTGCTTTTAATTTTAGTGGAATGCTACAAGCAACTGCGTCAGAATTCATACCAAGATTCAATAATTTAAATCTAGAAGATTCAACTAACAACTTTACTTTAAACTCTAGTACAAATTCTAATGCTCAAACTATATCAGAAGAGGCAAAATCAATTGACACAAAAAATTCGACTTCAACTCATAAAAGTTCAAATAATCAGAATCATAATTGGCCAAAAAATGACAAATACCAACGTAATAATACTGAATCTTATAATAATAATCGTTCTGAACGTTCGGAAATAAATAGTTCAGAAAATTTCAATAATTATAATAATCGACGCTCTCAAAATAATCAAGCACGAAATCAATATCAGAAGTATGATAATCATAGGCATAGTAAGCGCCGAGATAATTGGAATCGTAATCGGGTAACGGAATTGAACGAATCATCACATTCGGGGAATAACAATTCAAACTCTCATACTCAAAATTCGCCACGTAAATCGAACTCAGAGCATTCATCTCCAAGATCAACAAAAGATAGTCCGAAACGGCCTCAGCTTATTATAAATCCTCAAAGTCCAGAAAATGAAAAACTATCGCAGAGAGAAAAATTAATAAGAGAAATAGAAGCCCGCCGTCTTGAATGCCTTGTGTGTGTTGAAAGTATTAAAACACATCAACATGTTTGGAGCTGTTTAAATTGCTATCATATTTTTCATTTAAACTGCATAATTAAATGGGCATCAAGCTCAAAATCGGAAGATGGATGGCGTTGTCCTGCTTGCCAGAATATCTTAAAACAAATCCCGAGGGAATACTATTGTTTTTGTGGTAAAGTAAAAAATCCTGAATATAACCGTAATGATTTAGCTCACAGTTGTGGAGAGCTATGTGGCCGTAAAGACAATTGCTCTCATCCTTGTACATTATTATGTCACCCAGGACCTTGTCCACCCTGTCAAGCACTTATTACTCGGCAATGTGGTTGTGGTAAGACTGTAAAATCGATGCAGTGTTATTTGAAAGGAGATATTGAATGCGACTTGAAATGTGAGAAAATATTAAATTGTGAACTACATACGTGCGAAGAAAAATGTCATCAAGGGAAATGTCCCGCTTGTACACACAAAGTTGATCAGATTTGTTTTTGTGGCAAAAATGAGAGACAAGTTGCATGTACACGTGATACAATCGAAAAGAAAACATACAGTTGCGGTAAATTGTGTGGAAAAGACTTGACATGCGGAAATCATAAATGCAAAGATATTTGTCACAAAGGTGATTGTAGACCATGTAAAATGATTCCCGAATTAATCACATCTTGTCCATGTGGGAAAATGGCCATAGCAAAAGATGAAAGGAAATCGTGTTTAGATCCAATACCTGTCTGTACCGGTATTTGCGGGAAAACTTTAAAATGTGGATCACCTTGTAAGTTTTATTTTAATAAATAAATCAATATTCTATTCTGAATTAAATGTGTGAAACTATTTTCAGCAAAACCTCATCTTTGCGTAAGTAAATGTCACGTTGGGAATTGTCCACCTTGTAATAAGCAGACTGGTAATTTTTGGAATAGTTGATATATTATATAGAAATAATTAATTTATGTTTTAGCTGTAAAATGTCGATGCGGTCATATGGATCAAATGATTAAATGCCGCCAATTGTCGACTAGAGCTGATGATGCTCGTTGTAAAAAGCGTTGTACGAAAAAACGAAGTTGCGGAAAACATAAATGCAATCAAGAATGCTGTATTGATATAGATCATATTTGCCCTTTGCCTTGTAACTATACTTTAACTTGTGGCAAGCATAAATGTGATCAACCCTGCCATCGGGGGAATTGTCCACCATGCTATCGTAGCTCATTTGATGAATTGTACTGTGAATGTGGTAAAAATGTTATTTATCCGCCGGTACCGTGCGGGACGAAACGACCAGCTTGCGATCAACCATGTACAAGACAACATCCTTGTGATCATCCTGTTCAACAGTAAGGGAAACTTATTCAGTTTATTTTAAGTTAATGTTTTTTCCCCATGGTTTATTGCAAGTTATATAATTGTTTCTATTATAATTATATTACTTTTATAAACTGTACCAATTTTTAAATGAGTTGTTATACTAAACTTTGGTACACATAATTTTCTTCTTAGCTGATGAAATCATGAATATTCAATTTAATTTATAAATTATGGGTTTATTTCTCGACTCATGCGCTTTTATTTTCATAAATTGACAACTTCGTTGCTTTCTCTTTTTTTGACACTATTAAATTGGAATTTCCCGTTGTTGCCTAGGAAACGTAATAGAATGCAATACAAAAGGTATAAATTGCAATCCAATTCAGGGCTGTCGTTTAAGCTCTGAACAAGGTTTTTGCTCCCTTTTGTTAACATGTGCTCCGGTGTTCTATTACTTGATAAAATCTTCCGATTTTTAAGTTATAGAAAAGCTCCTTTTTAATAATGAGTATATATACCGCGATTATTTTTAAATTTATAATTTAATTATTTTTTTTAGTTTTATAGATATAATTTTTTTTTATTTTCAATTTTATTAAACATCAAAATAAACAAAAATAATTCTCTGCGCTATTCAATAAGGGTTCTATGCATTATTCTCCATATTGAAAGTTAATCCCAAAACACAAAAATGACAAACCCATTGAAAAATGCACTATTTCCCGTCTGTATTAATTTTTCTGTGCTAAAATTTTTCAGATTTGTAAAAAGAAATCAAAATATTTTTTTTTACAAATAAAGATTTTTGAAATATGCTTGTAGTGAAATGTCTGAGAGTCAACTTTGAATAACAATTTTGTTTCTATATTTGTAATTTTTTAGAACAATCACTCAGCCTCAAATTTCTTTTACAAATTTCGCTAATGGTGGCTCAGTTCGTATAGCCAAAATTGGATCGTGTTTTGGTACATGTAAAATATCTTGATAATCGAAGGTTAAATGTATGTTAGCATAGACTGGCATAGTATTTTATAGTATTACAATATCGGGCTTTTAAACTTGAAAGCGCCGTTTTTTTTTTTTTTTTTTTGTAAAGTCAACTATTCTATGGAATTGTAAAACGGCAGCCCTCGTTCAATTCTTTTATAATGAAATTTAAAACTAGTAAATTAAGAAAATTATTTTAGTTGCTTTTTGGATTTTGTTGCGTTGATTTAAAAAGAAAAAATAATATACGGATAACGTTTTTTTTGCTTGTCTTATTCCGTCTTAATTTAATTGAGATTTTTCAAAAAGCATTAAAATGTTTTTGAAACTAAATTTCGCTTTAAAACTTTTTATCATAATTAGTTTTCGTTTTAAAAATTTTATTTATGCTCAAACTACACAAAATATTAATGTTTTATTTGTAAATGAAGTAGATAATGACGTGGCCTCAAAGGCTCTTGAAGTTGCTTTAACTTATGTTAAAAAAAATCCAAGATTTGGTGTATCAGTTCAAGTATTTTACGTTGAGGGGAATCGAACTGATTCAAAAAATCTATTAGAAGCAATATGTAGTAAATATAATGAGGCAATTAAATCTAATGCACCACCACATGTTGTTTTGGATACAACTAAAACTGGAACTGCTTCAGAAACAGTTAAATCATTTACATCTGCTGTTGGATTACCAACTATAAGTGCATCATATGGTCAAGAGGGAGATTTAAGAAATTGGCGTGATTTAAGTGAAAGTAAGCAAAAATATTTATTACAAATTATGCCACCAGTTGATATAATGCCGGAAGTTGTAAGAACAATTGTTAGCTACATGAATATAACAAATGCTGCAATACTTTATGATGAAAACTTTGTAATGGATCATAAATATAAATCATTAATACAGAATATACCGTGCCGTCATGTTATAACACAAATAGCCAAAGGAGCTGACAAATCGATACAAATTGATAAACTGAGAAATTTGGATATTAATAATTTCTTCATATTAGGACAATTACAATCAATTAAGGAAGTTTTAGAAGCAGCACGTTCAGAATACTTTAAAAGAAATTTTGCATGGCATGCGATAACTCAATACAATGGGGATTTATCGTGTAGTTGTGAAAATGCAACGGTAATGTTTTTGAAGTAAGTAATAAAAAACAATTACAACAATTATGATTTTAATTCTCAATATATTAATATATTTTCTCAATAATATTAATTAGTAGGTATTTCTTTTGAATTGCAACATTTTTCATTATATATTTACCGATATATTTTTCGTATTAGAAAATGGAAAATCGGCAAAATAAATAACTAATTCGAATTTAAATTCCTAAGTATTTTAGTTTTTAAAAAACGTTAAAATAGTAAAATCTTTAAATTTAGGTACATTGTCTTATAAAACAGGCAATAAAACAAAGGGCAGGACAGACTGTATAAAAATCATTCCTGCTTGAAAAATTTTCTACTTTTATTGAAATTGGTGGACTTTAATATTTAATAATAAATGCGGTGAATAATCTAAAAATCTATTAAAAACTGGAAAAATTCTTTGATATTTTTATCAATAATACTGAAATAAATTGAAAAAAAAATTTCAATCAACACCCAAATTGTTAAGGATAGTTACCTTTTTCCTTGATTCTAATATTAAATTGTATTTTATTATTCATGTTTCATAATAATAACAAATAAGAATAGTATTTAATTGGTCACGAGATTTATATTATATATTACATTCACACATTTGTACTAACATAATATATTTGATAGTAATTCTTGACCTCTAAATAGCTTTCCATATGAAAGTATTTTAAAAAAATTAGGTTGCATTAAAAATTTAAAAAAAAGAATAATATTAATGTTAATAGTATTTTTTTTCCTTTTGCTTTCCAATTTATTGTTTAAAATATTAGTTCGTATTGTTCAAATAGAATTGATTTTATTTTTTAATATGTATTAGTAAAAAAACTCCTTGTTATTTAAAAAACAATGTTTGCAAATAATTTAAATTTTTTATTCATTTAAAAATATTTTAGACCGATTGGAAATGTAACGAGTCGTGATCAACTTGGAATGTTAAAAACAACATACAACTTGAAAGAACCACCAGAAATTTCATCCGCTTTCTATTTTGACTTGACGCTTCGAACATTTTTAGCTATACGTGAACTTTTACAAGCTGGTGCTTGGCCTAAAAATATGAAATACTTAACATGTGACGAATATGAGGGTAATAATACCCCGGAGCGAAATATAGATTTAATCACTTACTTTAAAAATATAAAAGAGCCAACAACATATGGTGAATTTTATTTAGAATCAACACCTGGAACACCATTTAATGGTCATAGTTATATGAAATATGAAATGGATATAAGTGTTGTATCAATACGTTCGGGTGCTTCAGTAAATACAAAGTCTATTGGGTCATGGAAAGCTGGTTTAGATGCACCATTAGATGTTAAAGATCTTGAACAAATGCATAATTTAACAGCAGATACTGTTTACAGAGTTTATACTGTAGTACAAGCACCATTCATAATGAAAGACAAAAATTCACCTAAAGGATATAAAGGTTATTGTATAGATTTGATCGATGAAATTGCAAAAATTGTTAAATTTGATTATGAAATTTATGAAGTTGAAGACGGAAAATTTGGTAATATGGATGAGAACGGTGATTGGAATGGTATTGTAAGAAAGTTAATAGACAAACAAGCTGATATTGGATTAGGTTCAATGTCTGTTATGGCTGAAAGAGAAATTGTAATAGATTTCACAGTACCATATTACGATTTAGTCGGTATAACAATTATGATGCAAAGGCCCACAGCACCAAGTTCTTTATTCAAATTTTTAACGGTATTAGAAACAAATGTTTGGTTATGTATTTTGGCTGCTTATTTTTTTACCAGTTTTTTAATGTGGGTATTTGATAGATGGTCGCCTTACAGTTATCAAAACAATCGAGAAAAATATAAAGATGATGATGAAAAACGTGAATTTAATTTAAAAGAATGTTTATGGTTTTGTATGACTTCATTAACACCCCAAGGTGGTGGTGAAGCTCCAAAAAATTTATCTGGACGTTTAGTTGCAGCCACTTGGTGGTTATTTGGTTTTATTATTATAGCTTCATATACGGCTAATTTAGCGGCTTTCTTAACTGTTTCTAGATTAGATACTCCAGTAGAAAGCTTAGATGATTTAGCAAAACAATATAAAATTTTGTATGCTCCGCTGAACGGCTCGTCAGCTATGACTTATTTTCAACGAATGGCTGACATAGAACAAAGGTTTTATGAAATTTGGAAAGATTTATCTCTGAACGATTCTTTAACACCGCTAGAACGTTCAAAATTAGCTGTGTGGGATTATCCAGTTAGTGATAAGTATACAAAAATGTGGCAAGCAATGCAAGAAGCCGGTTTACCCGCTAATTTACAAGAAGCTATAGCTAGAGTACGAAATTCAACAACAGCAACTGGTTTTGCATTTTTAGGTGATGCTACAGACATACGATATTTAGTAATGACAAATTGTGATCTACAAGTGGTAGGTGAAGAATTTTCAAGAAAACCTTATGCTATTGCAGTGCAACAAGGATCACATTTAAAAGATCAATTTAATAATGCAATTTTAATGTTGCTAAATAAAAGACAGCTGGAAAAATTAAAAGAAAAATGGTGGAAAGATGATGAAGCTCAATCAAAATGTGATAAACCGGAAGATCAATCTGATGGTATTTCTATACAAAACATTGGAGGTGTGTTTATTGTTATATTCGTTGGTATTGGAATGGCTTGTATCACACTTGTATTTGAGTATTGGTGGTATAAATATAGAAAAAACTCGCGCGTTATTGACGTTGCTGAAATGAATGCACAAATGAAAGAAGATCTACGAAATGAAGGTGTTATTTTAGGTGCACAATCTGACAAAGATAGTAAAAGCAATGCGGGAGCCGGTGCTTTACGCCCTAGATTTAATCAATTGCCTCAAACTAAATCAAGATTCTAAAAATAAAAAAAATAATAATGCCTTCTATTTTTAAATGATTTGATATATTAAAAGTTATGTGGAAAAAGCGCACAATAAAATGTAGTTTAAAAATAAGACGCACAATATGTGGTTGTGATGTTTTCGAAAGTTTGATTTAATACTTTTCCATTTCAAAAAATTTTTATAAACAATTTAATCATAACTTTATTAAAAATGACTTGTTGAAATGTGTTGTTGTTGATGTTTTTGAAAATTTATAATTGTTTCTATAATTACTCTTTGAGATAAATTATGGTTAATGTAGTATTTATATTATTATATAATTAAAAACATAGAGATTTTGAAGATATATTAGAATTTTAATATTATTGGTAAGGAAATTTGCTGGCAGTTTCTTATTAAATCAAAAAATATTTTAAATTGATTTTATGTCATTAAATGCAATATAAAAATAATTTTGGTTTTAATGTAAAATTACAGTACTTGTCACTCAGCATTACAATGTCCACCATGTTTTGTTTTAACCACAAAATGGTGTTTTGGTCATCATGAACAACGAAAAACAATACCATGTAATCAAGAAAGTTTCACTTGTGGTATGCCATGTGGTAAAGATTTACGTTGTGGCCGTCATAAATGCATTAAACTATGTCATGATGGTCCCTGTGAAGCAGAATCCGACATTTGCAAACAGTCATGTAAAACTAAAAGATATGATTGTGGTCATGCATGTATGGCACCATGCCATGACGGTGAATGTCCTGATACGCCATGCAAAGAATTAATTGAAGTACAGTGTGAATGTGGAAACCGTAAACAACAACGAACATGTCAAGAGGTTGTTAGAGAATATCGTAGAATCGCAACGGCAGCATTAGCATCGTCTGTAGCTGAAATGCAACGAGGCAACACCATTGAACTAAGTGATATTATGGGACCAATGAAGCCAACTAACAATAAAACGTAATATTTTATATACATTTATGTTTTGTTTTACCGTTATACAATTTAACATTTAATTAAATAATATTAGGCTTGAATGTAACGATGAATGTAAAGTACTAGAACGCAATCGTCGTTTGGCCATTGGGTTACAAATACGAAATCCAGATACTTCACAAAAACTTTTAACCCGTTATTCCGATTTCGTAAAAAGTTGGGCAAAAAAAGATCCGCATTTGGTTAAAACAATACATGATGCATTAACTGATTTAGTTCAATTAGCCAAACAAAGTCAACAAAAATCAAGGCGCCATTCATTCCCCGTTATGAATCGTGAAAAACGTCAGTTAGTGCATGAAATGTGTGGTATGTTTGGTGTTGATTCTGAGGCTTATGATGCTGAGCCAAATCGTAATGTTGTCGCTACAGCATATAGAGAAAGGGTAAGCGTAGCTTTTATCGCCTTCTAGTATATAAAAAAAATTAATATTTTATTACGTTTTTAGTCCTGGCTTCCAGCAATGAGTATAATGGAGGTTATGAAACGTGAAGCAGGTCAGCGTAGAGTTCCAGTTCCAAATAATAATGCATGGGGCGTTAAAAAATGAGTTAAAAATTTACAAAATTTTGTTTTCTTTTACATTATTTTTAACTATATGCCTAACTTTTGTTAAGTTTTCAAATGATTAAGTAGTAAACGAATCATTTCATTTTGTTTTTCTTTTATACATATTATATAATTTTCGCTAATACAAAATTGTAAAGTAATGCAAAATTTAATTGTTCATATTTAATTGGAATATCACAAGGAAAAGTGGTTATGTAATCCATTTCAAAGAAAAAGATTTTTTTTTTTCATATAAAAACTTTAAAAGTTTTAATCTTAAAAACAAAATGTAATTAAGAATTGAACATTAAAATTTTGTAATAAGTGAATTTATTTGAGAAAAATTTTTTTTCTTTTCTTGTTGAATTAAAATAAATTAAGAAAATCTTTGAAAACTAGTTTTAGAATTTTCAATGTGAACTTCTTAAAACAGGTTCCAACTCTTCAATTCTTTAGCGGAGATAGTTTTTTATTGAAAAGACTTGAATTTCAGAACTCTACGATTTAATTTAAATATTAGGAATATCAATTTAATTGAAGTTCAAACTGATTTTTTGTCTATATTCTTTTAAAATAATTGTGAGCAATATATTCAAAGGTTAGAGATTAGAACTTTTGAATATAACAACAAAGAGTTGTCTAAGCATGTAACAAGCATCTAAAGTTGAAATTAAAATTATAACGTTAAAAAAACATTTTGAAAAAAACGATATAATTTTTTGACAATATTTTACAGGTATAGAAAATTGTCAAAATATGACAATTTTAATTCCAATTGTTTCTTTTTCAACGTCAATGAAATGTCATCCCGCTTGAAATTCATATTAAATTGAAAGTGTTTGTGTGTGTATTATTCTTGCGATTGTATAAATTTTTCTCTCTTTTTCAAATAATATGATAAAAAAATACACAAAATATAAATTATACAGGCGGAGACGAAGCAAAAGCAAAATAAAGTTTTCTTGTTTTAGTTTCCTGTGAGATTTAGAACGTAACGAACGGAAAAATATATAATGTTGAACGTCGGTTTGATTTTGGTTAATTTTTTTTTTTTTCTGTAATTCTGTTGCATTGTGAATGATAATAAAGAAATGAAATTTCATTTAAACAAAATTTTGATAATATTGTAAAAATTAAAATTAGACTTTGAGATAATTAAAATCACAATACTATTTAAGTGTTCAACATTTGAAAAAAAGGTTTGAAAATACAATTAAAACAAATTTTAAGAATGAAATAAATTGTGAGATGAAATAAATTATAAAAAGGAAAAATTTTTGTGTTCAACAAGAACTTTTTTTATTTGTTGTAAATAAGAATTAATAAAAATTAAAAATGTGCAATTTATTTATTTTAAATTATCAATAGAAAAATAAATATTCATATGCCAATGTTCATTTAATTTTGTTTAAATTAAAATTTTCGGTAATTATTAATTTTTGCTATTCATCTAAAAATCTTGACTTTTTTTTGTATTAGTCCATAAATTTAATATTTGAGAAAAAAATCATCATCTCATCTTTTGTCGTCGTCGTCTTTTTGAGGAGCGCCAATTACATACTCTTTTTTTTTTTTCATTTTTTATACTTTCACTGGTGTGACTGGTCCCCGTTAAAAAATGTTTTTATGAATCATAAATATTTTGTATATTTTTTTAAAATTCTTATTAAATTTGACTTTTTTTTTTAGTAAAAGATATTCTAATTTAATTTCACTTATTCATTAAAATACAATCTGAAAAATATATATGTATATTTTTTTAATATTAACATTCATTATCATCTCTCAACAAGGAAAACGAAAATAATAATAAAACTAAAAAAAGGAAAACAAAAAATAAATGAAAGTAATAAAAATTTATTAAAATGGATTCTTATATTGTGAATACGCAAACTCAATTTCGAGACTCGTTTACCTTTTCAAAGAATATTCTCTGAGTTGTCAAAATGATGATGATGATGTTGTCATTTTTTATAATATAAACAAAAAATATAAGGAACTTGTTTTTTTTTTGCAAAGTGAAAAAAAACTTAAAAATTTTGTATTTTATGAATTAAAAATTGGAAAAACATTATTTAAATATAAATTAATTTTAAAAATAGTTAATTTTTATTTTATTAAAGAGTAATGAAATTAAATTTTAAGTGAGATATAAATTAAAATTATCAATCGGAAAAGATAACCTTTAAGAAGAAATATAATAACAGATTTAAATTAATTATACAGAAAAGAAAAGAAAGAGTACCTATATGAATAAAATAATTTTATAAAAAATTGAGAAATTGAGAGAATTTAATTTACAGTGTGTGGGCTTTTTTCATTTTAGATAGTGAGATTAATAGAGTTCTTGTACTATAGAATTTCGGTAAAGTGCGAATTGTGAATTTATGAAAAATATAACAACATGATTTATGAAAAAGGATATTTGTAAATGTGTTTGTGTAATTTATAAATATATATGTATACATGCATATATTTAATATAGGAGACATAATATTTTATTTAGTGGTATCTACTTAATAATAATTTCATTCAAGAAAAACTTTCTGCACATACACATCAAAACAGAAGTAAATAAAAATTTTTTGTTGTCAAAATTTTATTACATATTATAATTTTGTGTTCCTAAAAAAACAAAAATACAAGAACGAAAGATATGAAAATTGCAAAACGAAATAAAAATTGATAAATTTAAGAAGGAATCTGTGTTATTTTGTATGTGCAAGTACATATGTACATTATATTCATGTAACACGAATTATCGTCAAGTTCTCCAATTTGAATATTGCAATATTTCAAAAAAATATAAAGTGCAAGGTGTTGCTGTACCTTAGAACTGATGAAATTTAGACCAATTGGAAATATAAGAAAAGGCAATCAGATAATAAAATTGGATACTAATTATAAGTAGTGTTTCAATTGCATAAAATTTGGAGGAAGAAAGTAAAAAAGTGTTGTCTCTTTGTTCAATTATTTTTTTTTTAATACAATTAAAATTTTTTATTCTATTCTTACGAGTATTTTTTATTTAAATATAAAAATAAAAGAAAATTAAACTTAGTATGCTTACTTGTACAAATAAAATTATTTGTTCGTATTTTCAATGATTTTTAAATCAGTTGAAAAATTTTTTTAAAAGAATTAAAAGCAAAAAAAAAAAATTAAAGAAAAGTTCTAAAAAATAAGAAAATTATGTGTTTGAAAATTTTTTAATGTAATGTGAAAAAAATAATTTAAAAAGGGATTTTAATATCGGAATAATTTTAATATGAACTTATTTCTATATACCTATCTTTAATTATAAATAAAATAATTAATTATAATACAAATGTGTTTTATAACATTTAAAATAAATTAATGGCTACCTAATGTATTTGATGTGTTTTTTGCTTAAAATTCAATTTTGTTTTGTATTTAAATAAGTATAATTAATTAAATTGAAAAATGTGCTAAATTTTAAATTAATATCTATAACTAATTATCTATCAATAATACTAAATAAAAAAATTTTTTCATTAAATTAAATATTTTTTCATAAAAAATATAAAAAATATATTCTACATCTGCTACAATTAATACCTTCCTACATTCATATACATATATAAATTTAATTAAATTATACATATACATACATATATATAGTTAAAATATAAAATTTTACAACTTTATACCTAATAACAAATTATAAAATTTAATTAAGTATTAATTCGTGTCTAATTTACCATAAAAATTATAATATTTCAATAAGTAATATAAAAAAATTTGGTTGTTTTAATTTTACTAAATTATGGGATAATTATTATTAAATTAATTTTATATTAAAAAATAAAAAATTATATTTAAAAATTTTCATAATAATTAAAAAAAAAATTTATTTTAAAATATTGTTTTGTAGTGTACCTAGTTTTTTTTTTTTAAATTGAAGTGAAATATTTTATGTTATGATCAAAATTTTTGTTTTTAAATTAAATTGAAAATATTTAATAATTGATTAATAATTACTCTTAAAAGGTTGATTACATACCTTTTAAAGAGTTTGAATGCATATTATAACAATTCTCAATAAAATATTCAATTTATAAGTAAATTTTTCTATAATTTTAAGATTTAATTAAGAGAATTTTTGCAAGTAAAAGAAAAAAAAAAGAGAAAATTTGCATTTAAATAAATTAATTAAATTATAATAATAAAAAAATTGAGCATAATATAAGTATTGAAAATTCTTGACTCTTTCATAGTGAGAAGAAAATGACATCAAAATGTGGATTACTCATAATATCGGTTTCGATTATTTTATACATCGTAAATGGTAAGTTTCTTTAATTTCAAGTTTTTAAATTTATTTTTTTAATATTTTTTGTATTCAAATTTATCTTATAGTATACATATTTAGATTAGAAATCAAATTAAATTGGATTTTCCAGAATTTTATAATAATTTGGAGTTCGTGTTAGAAAAGGAAAAAACAAAACAAGTTCTCTGTTTATGTGCTTTTCTATTTAAGCTTTTATTATACTTATTGTAGTCAAATGAGTTATGGGTATTTTTACTTATTGTATACATATCTATGCAAATATTTGTGAAATTAACTGTAAGTAGTAAGAGAGAATATGTGTGTTTAATTTTTAATCGAGATAAGAAACTCGGAAGTGAGATTAAATGAATTATATTGGAGAAATTCTGTTTCTTATGAAAAAAAACAATTTTAAATGCACAAGAAAACTCAAATAATTTTTTATTCATAAGTAAATAGTACAAATTTAATAGTGCAAATTTTCAAATTTAATCGCAGGATTTTCAAATAAGTACTTAATATAAAAAGACGTATTGCGGTTGGTGTTCGACAAAAATAAATTTGTAAATTCTTGCACGATTTGTTTGATCTGTCTTAAATTTAATTAACTCTTAATTTCTAATAATAATTAAATAAATTTTAAATTTACTTATTTTTTAATAATTAATTTCTGGTGCAAAAGAATGTTTTTTGCTAGGAATTGATTCCTATTGTGTTTGGCTATTTTCTAATACTTAATTGAAATAGTTTGTCATTGTACAGCTACTACTTACTGTGAAAAGAAGCAAAGGCGGCCAAGAAAAAAGGAAAAAAAAGTCTTTTATTTTAAAATTTCTTAACCCTTTGCACTATAATTGTTTTTCTAATTTGTTCTCGGCCAACTCTGATTTAATTTTTCTGGTTTTGATATCATATGTTAGGTATAAAGTAATTACTTGGAGTTACTACCAAATGTGCGTAACCTTACAGACGAGAATACACTCAATACTTACAATAATTAAATTGCGCATGCATTAATAACTGTTTTGTCACGCCAGAGGTGACTTCAGAGTTTTAGAGA